AAAGAAAAAATTATCTTTAAATGTCATTAAAAACAGTGCTACCAAATTTTTCAAATATTTTACAATTTTTGATAAATTTTTAAAATATTTGTGGAAAATATTTTTCTTTTAGTACAGATAAATTGTATATGATTGTTGGAATAACAATTTGTGTATCATATGAAATTAATGTCAAGTAAATAAAAATTTTATATGCTGAATTGTTGATTTAAAATCACAAAACAATTAGTTGTGTCAGGAAAAAAATAAATCTTCAAATTTAAAGTTACATTGAAAAAAATTGATAACGAAGTTTAAACATATTGAAAGCCATTATAATATTTGAGTTCGATTGCAAAAATACTTCTTAAACGTTGTAGTGCGAACTGATAATAATTCAAAGTAAGTATATTTTGATTCATATATAAGCAAAAATGACTGACAAATAGCCGTAAGAGGAACTTGAGTCTTACCGAAATGAATCGAACGACAAATATAGTAGTACATATATTATATATTATACACATATATAAGATAAAAAATTTTTTTTTATCACTGAAATTATGTGCTAGAGAATTAAATACATATTAAATAAATATATTTTAAGGTAAAGAAATTTTTACAGTAGTTTTAAAGCTAGAACTTAATACTTTTTATTTAATTATACAGTTGAGACTGTTTTTTATAAATAGCGGTCCATTAAAGTAACCAATATTAAGACTATTTCAAAGTTTCTATTTTGGTTAACGACTACAATATATAGTCACAAGACTTATTTACATCTGATATTCTTATATCTACACATGTTATAAGGACTCTCAAAAATATGGCTATATATTAATAAATTTTGTTTATAATTATTTAATTAATTTTAATATGTGTGTATTGTCTTTTACCGCGTCCAGTAACCTTTTCCAACCAAACTAGCTTCCACTAGCAAATTGGTGATACCGATTGTAATTACATCTCACATAATATGTGGATCAATTTGACGCACTGTGCTAACACGATATTATAGTCCTTAAGATTAATATAAAATTTTTTAAATTTATTTTTCTACCTGTTTATAATTTTAATCTGGCTGTAGGTCTCTTTTTGTTAATAATTAAACGTTTAATATTTTTTTAGAACAATGAGGATGACGTATCGTAATTCTGATGACAGTGGCGTAACTACATTTTTTAGGCCTGTAAGCAAATTCTAACTAAGGGGCCCCTACCAACATATTAAGGGGCCCCTCTTTTTATACTCTTTACACAAAAAAATGTGAAAAGAATAGATAAGGTTTGTCAAGATTTTCGTAACGCATTAAAGGAAACGTCGGAAATACCATTAAGTATATATCAGTACAATATATATATACTTTTTCAGTTCAAACTACTCTCTCAGCTTTTGAACTCTTCGAATGAAACTTTACACACATACTTTTCGGGAGCCGACCCTTTTCACCATTTGATTTGATTGAAATTGGACTTCTATTTCTTGTAGCTGTGATATAAACTTAACAATCGGATATGAGGTTTCTCCGTTTTTAATAAATGTATTCAAATGGAATTTGGTGTATACAGTACTGATATTTGCAAAAGACAACGTACAAAATTATTTTCAAATGGGTTTAAATCTAAATATAGCTTCCATATAAGTGTCTCGATTAAGACACATATTTTTCTTAGAAAAACTTTTTTATTTTATAAATAGGTTTAATATTTTATTTGAAGTACATACATATTATGTACTTTAAATTTAAAATTTACGTATCTTTTATAAAATGCAATATGAAGTTATTCCAACAAAAAACGTTTCGTCCCATTTTGAGAATTTATTAAAAATAAATACAATGAATACAAAAATTTATAGTGGGGCCCCCTAAATTCGGGGGCCCGGAAGCGTTGCTTCCAGTTGCTTCCCTGTAGTTACGCCACTGTCTGATGATGACTCTCAAGGAGATTCGATATATAGAGTATGATAAAAAATATTAAACGTTTAATTATTTAACAAGAAGGGATCTACGGTCAGATTAAAAATATATAAAAAAACCATTTTAAGATTAATGTTTATAACTGTGGTACTGATATCATTAAAAAAGGGTTTGGTGAATTTCCTATTTTACAACATATGCTTTAAAAAAATACATAACCTTCAACCTTTAGTACAATACCAAAGAATGAACACACATTTAAAACAGAATGCAGTTTTATATAAAATATATTATTTATTTTTTTGTAAAAACCATTGATGTAACAACGTTGCCGACTTTCCCGCCAAATTTAAATGACGGTGTTGGTATTGTACATTTTTTGAGAAATTTATCTGCAAAACTTAAAATTAATTCGTCTTCAGTCCAATTACACGATGTAATTATGAATAAACTCTTCTCGTCCATAATGTTTAGCACAGAATTTATATATAAATCTCGTTTCTGCTTTGAGTTATCAGGACACAAACTTATCGCATCGTAAGTACCTTTATCATGGACAATTTTAAATATACCAAGTTTTTTCATTTCTTCTAGATTTGTCAGATCGGCTACTGCATATTGTATATTTAATTTTCTGTCATCTTTTATACTATTGGCTAATTGAACAGCTTTTGGGGAGTAATCTACTCCCAATAATTGTTAATAACCCTGTGCAGTCTATAATAGCCATACCGTTGCCACAACCCAATCAATTAGCGAATCGGTCCTTGGTTCTACTATTGAAGCCGTGCTTTAATATCCAAGTAACATACGATTTGTGAGTCCTCATCAAACCATATTTCACCAACATCTCCATTTCTGTTGTAATTATAGATTTCGCGACTATAGCTGGTTTCCCAATATTCCATTGTACCCAGTTCAGAGCTATCCAATTCTTCTATAGACATCTTGTTGTAACGAATTTAGATAAATATAAAGTAACAAATTATAAGATTTATACAATTTTTAATGATTTACTGAAATAATTTATAGCAATAATTAACAGAAAAAATAACTGAAGTCAAAATAAATCAACAAATAAAATCGTGCCGATTAAATTTTGACGTTTCGCTTCTGCCAAGCACATATGAGTATGAAAACAGTGTTGCCATGTATAATTTTTATTAGAAATTGAATTTATACATAGCATGCAAATTTTTTCTATGAAGAAAATTTTAATTTATGTAGGCCGTGTTCGAGTTCGAGTAAATTGAGGTAAAATAGATTAAAATTTCCTAGGGATTTTTTGCACTGCATTTATGTAAATAATTATTTAATAGTTTTTATTAGTTATTGCAGTTATTTATTATTTTTGGTTTTCAAATTTATTTATTTATTTATTAAATATCTTAAAAAATTAACACAATGGTAACACTTAAGTTACCTAATTTTTATCTAATTTACATTATTCGAAATTCTGGTAAATACCAACATTCGCTGCCATACCGACATAATTTACTATTTACCTCAATTTACACGCACACGGCCGTAAAGATATATAAAGACATATATATAATATGAACTCTCTTATTTGCTTTATGCTAAATAAAAACATATATAAATACAAATAAGAAATAAAAATAATATATATTACATATTATATTTTATATACATTAAGTTTTTAGTTTCTGTTTACATGATATAATTTGTGATTGTTTTTGAACATTTCAAGTTCAATTTTAATTTTGTGAAACAGCTGTTTTCCACCGAATACTAAAGAATTTATCAAACTTATTGTGTGCTACAATGTTTTTTTTTTATTTCATTTCTCTCACCTAATTTAGCTTTTATATTATTTTTGTTAGTAGAGCCTTGTAAAAGTTTATGTATGGACGATGAGTTCAAATTAGGAAGATAAACAACTGTAGAGGTATGTTTTATACTTTCAAAACATTGGACAATTACTCGACTAAAAATGAGTCGACATTACTCGACATAAAATGCTTTATCCTCAATATTTTTTATATATATATATTATATATTTAAATTCTATATTTTATTATAATTGCTTTACTTCATTGAAGCATGTTCACAGAATTTCTTTTACGTACTCATTTAATGCTTAAACATTACTGAACATTACCGTGGTTAAATTTAATAATATATCACACAAAAAAATTAAAAGTATATATGATATATTAAATATTTCATTAAACACTTACTTCCTCAGTGCCTTTGTTTACAGCTTAGCTGTTTGTTTACATATATATACATATATTTTACATATAAAACACAACATACATTTCCAATTTTGGTAATTTCACTTGCGAAAAGTTTATTTTTAAGGGTTCGATAATTTCGATATTTATATATTCGATATTCGATATTTTTCGCCTTAAATGAGTTGATTTATTGATATTAAGTGTATATGTATTAAAAATACATTTTGTATGACATTACAAAAACAATAACATTGAATGAAAAATGTATTTTTTAGCTTCGTTTTAAAAAATATTCGGGAGGGCGGTGTGAGTTATATATTATTTTCAAGAATAAGTTATTCCTGATTTTTATATTTTTAAGGCAAAAATAATAGTTATTTGTGCGTTTTATAATAAAAAGCAAAATATAAGTGTTATTTTTGATGAATATAATATAAAGCAAATTTAGGACGTGTGCGAGTTAGGCTAAATTGATACTAAACCAAATGGGACTTTTCTTGGGATTTTTTGCACTGCACACATTTAGCCATTTATCAGCACCTATCGACACATCACTACATTATCGGCATAACTTAAAATTTCCTTAATTTAGAACGCAACTTAGCCTAACTCGCAACGTCCGTAATTATTATGTTTTAAGCTTGATTTTAAAACGCGAATGATAACAGTTATAAGTTGATTACATGTCAGATTTTTTTAAACAAATCGAAATGGCAACTCTAAAAATTTCCCTAATTCCGAAATATTTTCTACCGTATGTCAAACATATAAAAATTTCTGATGCATTTCGGCTTCGATAAGGATTTGTATACAAATTTTTAAAACCGCTTAATGTTTTAATATTTATGTTATTAATCCAAAAAAATAATAAGTTAATACGTACCGTAGTACAGGTTAGTAAAACTAATATATTGTGCAACATATAAATAGAAAATATGTCAATAACGCATAAGTGTTAATGTCAACTATATTTCGCCGTATAATTTTTTTGTGCGTTTACAAAAAATAAATTTTTTTTTGTTAATTTGCAGACATCTTATGAATAATATGTCTCCACGAAAGTCTAAAGGAAAGGCGCGCGAAAGTGTGCGTCTTGGTCGTATAAGTAAAGGTGGCAAAAAGAACCGCACTAAAGGAAGTTTCTCAAGTAAGTGCTAACAAAATTTAGATGAAGCTAAATTCCATTTTAATTTGTGTTGAATTGGATCAAATAATTTATTTTTATTTGCTGAATTTATATTCTAAATAATAGTGGAATTTAAGAATTAAAAATTACATGCATTTATCAGTCAGATTTAATTGATTTTAAACATTGTATTTATTTACTTAGATTTGCGTACAATAAATTGGTTAGACATGAAGCTTCCACCGTTCGAGAAAAACTTTTATGAGGAGCACCCTCGTACGCGTAGTCGTTCAGCTAACGCCGTTGAAGAATATCGCGCCGCCAACCAGATAACTGTACGTGGTTTAGCTCCTAATCCAATACCGTTCTTCGATGAAGCTTGTTTTCCAGATTACTGTATGAATGAAATTCGTCGGCAAAGATATACCGAACCTACTCCTATACAAGCACAAGCGTGGCCGATTGCTATGAGTGGTTCCAATTTAGTTGGAATCGCTATGACTGGTTCGGGGAAAACATTGGCTTTTATATTACCGGCTATTGTTCATATCAATAATCAAACACCGTTACAGCCCGGTGAAGGACCAATAGCCTTGGTCTTGGCACCAACTCGCGAACTGGCGCAGCAAATTCAAACGGTAGCTACTGATTTTGGCTCCAATTCATTTGTTCGCAATACATGTATTTTTGGTGGCGCACCGAAAGGAAAACAGGCAAATGATTTGGAACGAGGTGTTCAAATAGTCATTGCCACACCTGGTCGCCTTATTGATTTTCTTGCCAGCGGTAACACAAATTTGCGTCGCTGCACTTATTTGGTATTAGATGAAGCTGATCGTATGTTAGATATGGGTTTTGAGCCACAAATTCGTAAAATTTTGGGTCAAATACGCCCAGATCGTCAAATTTTGATGTGGAGTGCTACTTGGCCAAAAGAAGTGCGCCAACTTGCTGAAGATTTTCTTGGCGACTATATCCAAGTGAGTAATTATTAATTATAGTATGTGATTATATATTTTATTATGAAAATATTATTTACAGATAAATATTGGTTCGCTTGAGCTCGCTGCTAATCACAATATTCGCCAGTTAGTAGACGTGTGTGATGAATCGGATAAGGGTGTTAAGTTAAAAGAACTGCTCTCACATATATATGATCAAGCACACGCTCCTGGTAAAATAATTATCTTTGTTTCAACCAAAAAAAAGGTGGACGAATTAGCACGTTTTATTAACGGTTTTGGGGTTCATGTTGGCGCCATACATGGCGATAAATCCCAAGTGGACCGCGATAAGGTATTAGGTGATTTTCGTTGCGGCCGATCAAATATATTAGTTGCAACAGATGTAGCTGCACGGGGTTTGGATGTTGACGGCATTAATCATGTTATAAATTTTGATTTTCCGCAATCGGCAGAGGACTATATACATCGCATTGGTCGAACTGGTCGAAAACACTGCACTGGTACGTCGTATGCATTTTTTACCCGTAAGAATGCGAAATGTGCAAGTGGTTTGATCGATGTATTGCGTGAAGCCAATCAACCGGTGAATCCAGATTTGGAACACTTGGCTCTTCATGGTGAAGATGTTGGTGATGGTGGCAAGGGCGGCAAGTCTCGAAATCGTGCTGATCGTGGCAACCGTGGTGAACGGATTGGACTTGGTAATGATATATTTGAAAAAATTATGAGTGCAAATAATATCAAGGGAAACTCAAATAGTGCATATAATGGTGGTATAATGGCTAGTCGTGGTGAGAACAATTATTCACCATCGTTTGATATGCCCAGACGCGGTCGTAATGACTTCATATCATCTATTGGTATGCCGAGTCGCAGTAATAGTGATTATCCCTCATCCATTCGTATGCCCAGTCATAGCAATGGTGATTACCCCTCATCTACTCGTATGTCGGGTCACAGTAATGGTGATTACCAATCATCCACTCGTATGAATTCTGGTCGCGGTGGTAATGACTACCCATCATCCATGGGAATGTCTGGTCGCGACGGTGGCGATTATCCATTACCGTTTGGTATGTCCGGTCGTGGTGGAAATAATTATCAATCATCTATTGGTATGTCTGGACGTGGTGACGATGATTTTCAGCCAATGTCGGGAATGTCTGGTCGTGGTGGTAGTGATTACCAATCATCGATGAGTATGTCTGTTCGTGGTGGCAGTAATTACCCATCATCGATGAGTATGTCTGGTCGGAGTGGCAATGACTTCCTATCATCGTCTGGTATGTCTGGTCGTGGTGGAAATAATTATCAACAATCTGGCAACAATGGAAACTACGGCGGCAACTTCGATAGCAGTAATTTTGGCGGTGATAGTTATGCTGGTCATAGCTATTCTGGTGTTAATTATGGTGGTAATATCCATGGTGCTAACAACTACTCAAATGGTAGTGGCTTTGATGCTGCAGCACTACGATCTCGTAATTTCAACTCAAGACATTAGCTGCAGACATTAGTTTGAAATTTGCAATCTGGCAAATAGGTTAGCCAAACACATTTTCCGATTTCGGAAATAAAAAAGTATAATTAATTTTTTGCTTTAAGTAAGAATTTGTCTACATAATTTTTTATGTAAATTTATATTCTCCTAATTTAAGATAAACATTTCTAGAAATATTAGAATTACAGGGCTAATTTTGAATTTAATTAAGTTTTACGCCTATATTTATAATTATAACCCAAAGATATTCATTGAATTTTTACTTTTGTTAACAAATTTTTTAATTTAATTTTAAATTTGAAACGTATTTTTTTTTTAAATCTTTATTTAAAATAACTATAAACTGTATAGAATAGAATACAGAATAAATTAAAAAGAAAAGTTTTTTGTCTTTTATATTAAAAACAAGGATGGCAAATAGCGCTTAAGAAAAATTCATAATCCACTTTTTAAAACAATACAGTCCAATGAGAAGTAGTTGAGCAAAAACACTGCACTGCTCACAACCAATTTTCAACACAATAACCTTAGCGCGAAGAACAGAAAACTGATCTACAGCCAGATAATCAGAGCAGCACTACTCTACGAGTGTGTCGCATATAGCAAAGTTGCCAACTCTACTATCCAGAAGCTGCAAGTTGCTCAAATTCTGGCTCTCCGAAGACTATTCAAAGTGCCTTGATACATCCGCACAAATGACATGCTAAGAGACCTTAGAATAGACCAGGTCAAAAAATACATAAGGGACGGAGCCTCGAAGTTATTCGCAAAAACCGACAGGCTGCCCCCTCTTAGCACTATCTAATCTCAGAATAATCTACGGAGTGGTACGAAGATCTTAGATCATTCATCGAATAATCACGAAGCTTTTAAGGAATACATAAATTAGTCAGTGAAAAGGGTGTGATTCTGCAGAAACCATCCCAGCTATCAAAGAGTAAAGTGCCCAGATGTACTAATTCTTTTTTTTTTACAACTTAGTTAATAGCTCAATCTATTGGCGAATTAAAATTTGTCGGGTTCAAAGACCATAAAAAGACCATAAAAATATTTGTTGTTGATCTCTATGTTGCTGTCTTGCATTAGTGCTTAATTGTGACAGATCAACCACAAAATGTGTGATTTAAAATAAATATTTTAACTCTCAAAACATATTTGAACTAGAAAATACTTTACCTAAAGTAGCTAGAATGATTTTAAAAGTAAAAAATTTATTACCTTAGTTATGACAGCAGAAGCCTACACCTTGAAGAACTACAGCTTAATAAGTAACAATGACGTCGTGGAGCAACTTCAACATTGCTCTAACATAATTTTGATGAAATATGGGTTGCGGTATTGAAATAAAGCCTTATTCGTCTTAAAGGAAGTTTTCTAAAGAACCACAATTATCTTAAAAGGACAAAGATTTTTTGAAATAGTTTGAATCGACTTAAAGAAAGTTTCCTGAAGCCCTAAGACCATAATAGCACTTTCAGTTAAGTCAAATGCAAAAATAATTTTAATGATCTTTTTTGACTGAAACAGAATATTGAATACAAATTTTTACCACCAATAATCGGGAACCCAGATTAGAGAAATATTGAACTGCATCGTTAGTGATATATAGTGTCTTTCAAAAAAATACAAGAGTTTTAGAAGTTATAGGACACACACTTTAAAGTAAGTTCATAAAAAAATACAGAAATTAAAATTTTAATTTAATAATACTTTAGATCATTCCAGAATTAGTTATTTATTTGATTCAAGTAGCTGAGCTATTTTTAAGCAAACCTAAGTTCGTTGGTAATACTAATTTACTCATATCTGGTCGCATTAAATGATGCGTTGTGTAAATGACCTGTGGATAGAAAATTAATTGGATTTAAAAAAAATTTATTTATTTAAATAAAATCAAGTTTTTATAAATTTTAAAATGTTTTTCTCTTAAATTTACATTATAAGCTTAATACTAAGTTCATTAAGTTGTAGTAAAAATTTTTGTGATTCAAATAATTCCTTACATAAAATTTATATTTTCATTTTGTTTTAAATGTTGTTGATAATTTGATCTTTTTGAGTTTGTAAACTTTATTAAAAATTATTTCAATTTCTTAATCTAATGCATTTTATTTATAACTAATTCGTTGATAACTGCTACACCATCCATTGATCGCCTAAATCGACGAACATAGTTTAGGCTGGAGAAGCTTGAGTACGACGGTTTGCTGAAAAACAGAAAAAATTTTTTTTTTTAATAATATTTTATGATAATTTGTAGCATATTTTGTAAATTGAGAATAGGGGAGGAAGAATGTCAGAAGGTAGATTCGTCTTGAGAGAAATATAGCGCTATGAGATTCTTGAATTCCAATTCCATCATGGACAAAACATATTTCAAAAAACTGAGGTGCAAATGGGTTTGTTCAATTGTATGCAATGTAATATTCTTAAGCTGTCATTAAGTAAAATACGATGAAGTTGACTAAGGAGCAATTAGCTCAACTTGTAGTTACATTTTTTGACTCATTGTACTAATATACTACATTTTAAAAGATTTGTTTCCTATATTTCTTTAGCTTACATTTTAAAAAAAATCTTTTTTGGTTTATAATAATTTTTGTTACACCTCTTATTACCATAATCATGGTTATGCCGAAAATTTGAAGAAATCTAAATCAGTTATACTTTTGAAATTATATATTCAGTAACTCACAAGACTTTTTCCCTCATGCCACGTTTCCACTGGTCTCATTTAGGCAGTTTTGTTCATTAAGGACGCTAATGAGGATAATTTACCATATAAGAGGCTTTATATAAATGAGCTAAATATAAATAAAACAACTCGTTTGAGATGTCGAATATAGACCTTTCCCATAAGGGAAATTATCAAAATTTGAAATCTTTGTCATATGTTTTGTATATAAAATGTAAACAAGCAACAGCTGAGCTGTAAACAAAGGCACTGAGGAAGAAATTATTTAATAAAATTTTTGTTTTTATTAATTGAATATGTAATATTATTATTGTGTTAATTGAATTGATATATAAAATAATTATAAATGACTTAATATAATAATAATATATTTAATTTTTTTGTGTGATATATTATAAAGTGCAGTTTATAAAAGTTTTATCAGCTGCATAAATGAGCTCAATATAATGTGAACGTTCACACATTAATATAAATAAGCAAGTGCGCAAATGAGACAGTGTGAATGTATTATAACATAAATAGTTTTAGCTGCTGTGGAAACATGATATCAAACATTTTTAGATAATTAAAGAAAATTGTAATAGAAAATTGAAAGTAATCAAATACTTAGGATATTAAACGTGAAAGTTCAGAGCTACTAACTGAAAATAATTAAACTTATATCATCATTAACATCATATCTTCATTAATAACTAGTAGTGAAAATCAAACATGAAATTTTTAATGATCATAATTGATATATGATAAACGACTGATGATATTTATCATCGAAACTAAAAGAAAGGTTAGTTTGTTGAGTTTTAAAGCAGAAGGCTTATGATATAAAATTTACTAGAATTTTTGATAAAAATTAGCTTACTTAGTATATATGTAAATGAATCTCTAAACAAAAATTCCACAAATGTTGCATCGTATTCAAAATTATATTAGATTATATCATATTTAATCCTTAATAAAACTACTCAGCATTTTTGGAATTTTAATTAGCCAAAACAGGATAAACTTAATTTGTAACAAAATTAATTAAATTAAATGGTTGAAGTCAAAGGCCAACAAGTAATATTTCAAAAATTTTCTAAAACTCGTTATACAAATTCGTTGAACTCACCTTTATCCTTGTTTTTGCGTTCCTTATTGGCTTTGCCAGCCTGTTTGTTAGCACCGCCAGGATTACATTTCTTGTTTACGTCCCGCACAGCTACACAGCTGGAGTCAGCAGCGTTGCCTGTTGATTTCAATTTATCCTGTCGTGTCATTTGACCGTTGCTGTTGCACTCAGACCAAGATCCTTTTTCATAACGACACGCTGACAAAACAAATTTCATAAAAATTAAATTACAGAGAAAAAAATATGAAAATATGTGTTATGGCATTAACAAAACAAAAAATAAAAAAAATAATTCTAAATAAAAAAATTAAAAACATTTCTGCATTTAATTAAATAAAGTTAATTATTTTATGTACGAGCAAACTTGAGTAACTTTTTAATTTAATAAAATAATTTTACATGCCCACAATCCACAACCCGACCATCCGACCATCCGACAACCCGACAATCCGACAACCGGTGACCCACAACCGCTCAGCATGCGTTTAATAGTTCAAAATTTCTGGTGCGGAAATTAGTGCAAAAGCGTGAAATTTCATTTGGCCATAAACGGGAATGCACATATTTTACGTTTATTTACGTATCCTTTTATATCCTTTTTTGCGTATACATATTCAATTAATAAGTGAAATATTTGAATAAATGTATTTACCAAATTTGGTAGATTTTATGCATTTTAAAAATGCTATTCATAAATATTATTTTATATTTCAGAAAATAAAAACAGATTTTAAATAACCTTTGATGCTTTGCCATACAATTTTGTTTCCTTTCCAATTATGTGTGCTCTATGCGAATCACTGATCTGAATTTAGCAATGATAATTCAAACTAAAGGGACTGGAAAATCTTTTTAAGCAATGAAATCTACAGATTTTCTAAAATTTCATAAATATGTCTTTTATTAGTCACAGCCTCTACAAAAATATAACTTTAATCATCGGCATAAGAATATGGGTACATAATCTGGAAAAAATACTTGGATTTTGTAATTGAAGGTTCTGCATAAAACCTCTAAGACTATTTTCTTTTTCTGTAAGTGGTAACATTGTACTGTGCTACCTTACAAGTTTAGAAGTATTTAGAATAGATTAGAATATAATGGATCAAAATATGGACAAGTAGAGATTACATTGTCCGGGCATATTATGTACTTTTAAAACAAATAAAATTTTTAACAATGAAAGCTAATGAACAAACTGTAGATACATCGACAAATATTGATTGTATTAAAGTTAAAGAGAAGTACTATCTTTATCGAAGTAAATATCTTTATCGTCTTGGTAGCAAATTTGAATACTATTTTTTTTTTATAAAATTCGTCTCTTTTTCTAGTTTTATCTCCTGCTAACTCCATATCTCTCATATTATTTTTCTCTTTGTAACACTCCACATCTCTTTACCACACTCTGTGTCTGTTTTCCACACCCTATATTCTACATCTTTTTCCCTCAATCTGCATCTCTCTACCACACTCCGTATTTCTCTCCCACACTCTACATCTCCCACAATTTGGATTTCTCTACCACAATCTGTATCTGTCCCCCACACTCTATACCTCTGCATCTCTCTCCCTGAATCTGCGTTTCTCTCCCACACTTTACATCTTTCTCCTACGCTCTACATATATCTCACATAATCTGCATCTCTCTACCACACTTTGTAACGGTCTCCCACACTTTACATCTCTCTCTCCCTTAATCTACATTTCTCTGGTAACCAAGATAGAAATTAGACCTAGAAAGGAAAATCAGTAACAAGTTCTGGAGTGGTGGGGCTCTGATGCTAATCGAAAATCAAAAGACTATGGCTTGAAATGCCATCATAAAAAACAGCCTCTTCGAAGTATTGCGAAAGCGGTTTCGCCCCCTCTCTCCAAAGAAGAGGTGTTTTATTCCGTATACTACATACAAATATATTAGGGAATTTTGGGATAGGTCTGACGGTGCATAAAGCATTATACCACAAAGAAAAATAAAATATTTTAGTTATTAAATATATACTAAAAAGAATGTAAGGATATGTTAATAACTTACACCTGTTGATTATTGTTGAAATATATTTAAAATTGTCTATATGAAATCAAAAAGGAATAAATAATTACTAACTTTTTAATTATGATTTATAATAGAGAGTGGTTTTCTATGTTACTGGAAATGCCATCCGGATACATGTAGTGTTAAACAGTAATTTTATATACCGAAATTTTTTGAAGAACTTCAATCTGTTTACGAACTTAATGGTACGGAATCGTGATGTCCCTTAAAAAAAAATCTCGACTTATTCATATATTTCGATGCGTTTTTAATGTGCTTTATATGCGAAAAATCATTTTTGCTATGAGCAAAAGTTTTAAATTTCCATTAAATTATTTACTACAATGGATTTTCTCAAGAGATTGCCTTTAAATGAATATTTCTTACAGAATTTAATTTCTTTTAAATGAACAAATGTAAAAAGGCGGGAACGAAGTATCGAAAATACACGTCAAATTGTGCAGATTAATGAAGTTAAATTTTTATCACATTTCACTTGAATATCTCACAGTAATGAGCAATATTCGTTTCATTGAGTTCTCTGGAATTTTGCTGAATTGAAATAAAATTGCTATTGAAATAAATTTGCATATCACAGAGTGTACATAATAATAATAATAATAAAAATAATAATAATAATTGTAGAAAAAAGGACAAGAAAATATGTAAATTTACGGCTTTAATAATTCTTTATAAATGGACTCTTTTTATTATGATACTATGGAAATTTAATGAAAATTTTGGATACTTTTGGAACCTTAACGAAACTTTATGACAATTATATATCTATAGTTATTTACGAGATTAAAGGTAGTTGATTATTTTATCCATAACTCATTATGAAAAAAAAAAAAAATGAAGTATAATATTTGCTTAAGCTAACGGATTGTGATTTAGACTGAGATTTGAGTCTTAAATGTATAATGTTTGAGTTACTTAATGGTACCTTGATAAAAACGTAATAGTGAAAGACGTATAACGGATTTTATAGATCGTTGTTTTTGATTGTCCTATTATTGAAGCTCAATACTGAGAAATCAACAAAGATATTTTAACTTAAGTTGTTCTTCTCTAACCCATAAAGTGGAAGATGACATTACTTTACTGCATTTTCATATTTATAATTATTCTACAGCTGATTTATGATTTTGTTCTAATATAAACATAGCAAGTGAATTTGTTAATAAAAGCTTCACAGCAAATTAATAAAACTACAGAAAAATTCGCAAACATAAAAGAGAAGTATGGCTTTGGGTTAGTTGGTTAAGGCGCGCTGACCTTAAGCTTCGAATTTGGCAGGGCATGAGTTCGATTCCTGGTACTTGCAGTCTCAAAAAAATTATTTACGAATTATTAAATACAAGAATTGTTTCCAAAACCACTGTTGGTGGGTATTTGGCAGTACTCGAAACAGCTGTACGGACAGCCAAAAATTTAATTAATTAAAATAATATAAAATGAATTTTTGTTGTTGTGGTTTACTACTATTCAAAAAACCTCTTTATTAATTTGAAGAAAAACGATAATTTATCCTCCATTTTATCCTCCTTCTTCTTATTATTGTCTGATATATTTCAATTCTATTGAACATATTAGTCTTAGTTGTATTAAACTGTGAACACCCTTAAAAAATTAAAATTTAAAACGATTAAAAGTAAATTTTTTTAAAATGGTGTTCAGGTTTGAACTTTGAAGGATTAATTTATTTCTAAAATATAATGAAATTTAATACATCTTATATATAAAAATGAATCGCAAAATGTGTTTGTAAGCGCATAACTCAACAACGCCTGGACCAATTTGGTCAATTTTATTTTTTAAATGTTCGTTGAAGTACAAGGATTGTTTTTACGACAAGAAAAAAAATCGAATTATTGCTAATTTGAAATTGGTCTAATCTTTGTTGAGTTATGCGCTTACCAACACATTTTTTGATTCATTTTTACATATAAGAAGACAAGAACATAACCAGAATAGATGAGTTCGTGTGTTGTAATAAGTTGTTGATTATTGTAGGTATCTTCATTAAATCCCCATGACTTCCTTTGCAGATCATTATGTCTACTATCCAAGCGAGCCACCCACTTTTTATATATTTGTCACCTTTAGGTTTCCACTGTCCCTTTAGATTATTTTTCAATCAGGTTTGAACCCTAAGTTCGCCTCTTAGTTTGAAACCCGATGGCAGACTGGAATGTCGGGGTTTTTTAGTGGATTCCAGAAGGGTGACCAAAGTTCTTGGAAGAGAAGATACTTTGGTCACCCGAGCTGAACCCCATACACCAGGCTGACTGTTCTGTTCAGGAGATTTTTTGCCCCGACTATAAAATAGTTAGGAACAAAAAACTACCACATTCCAAATATTTTTGACAGAACGAAGTCTGTCGGGTTCGCTAGTAATAAATAAAATTTATTTTTAAAATTAAATAAAATTTATTTATAATTTTTCAAATAAAATAACATTTATTTTTGAAATAAATTCTTCCTTCTGTAAAATTATTCAAAGTATTATTCTCATAACGTTTCTTTCTCGGAAACGAGGTCTTATTTCTTATTTTAAAAAGATAATTGCAGCTCCTTATTACTATTTTCAAATACCTTAATATCCTAATAATGATTTTTATTAGCATATTTAAAGTAATTATTTTTTTTCTTTAATATATAACTTTGTAGCATTTTACAAAATTATTTTTTAACTTCACTCATACGCCATGTGTAACCATTTTACGCAAATGAAATTGTGCTAATTAAGGTAAAGTAATATCAATTTCATTAAAGGAAATAACCTCATTTTTAAACAATTTTTATTTTTTTGCTTAATTTTCGAATTTCTCGAATTTTTGCTCTAATTAATTTGATTAAATATGCTGGGTAGTACACGACACTGCAGTCACTTGACTTTTGCCTCTTGTTGAAGCAGATAGATGAAGTATAAGTGCACGTACAACATTCATATGAAGGTATATATTTATATAGCATATATGTAAATATAAATGTAACAAGTTTGATTTAAAAGAATTTTTTATTTTAATTTTTGAAATTTAATTGTTCACGTTAAATAATTATTTTGCTCTCACTTTTAAACCACATATTTTCCGTTTCCGTTTCGTAGTGCAGTCAAATAAAAATGAGATAAAGTTATATAAAAAAAAGTAGAATTATTATAAAGAAGCCAAGAACAATGTCATATTCAGTAAATATCCGCACAAAATGGCGCATTTCCTTTCATATTTAAATGAATTAAATAAACTAAGTAAAAGTTTGCTTAAAGTCACTTTAATGCTTAAAGTCACTTGTGTGTTGGTATTTGCGTGTGAGAAAAAATGCAGGCTTGTCGGTAATACGTTTGCAGAAAATCATGTCTGTCTGTTTGTACGAGTATGTGCAGTGAAAAATGCAATGCTGTGTAAACAGCTATTTTTAATTTTATATGCAAGTCCAACGTTGCCACAAAGTCGAGTTATTCTTGATGTGTGGGTTGGAAACGCCTACAGTTTTCCTTGGTTGATATAGAAGAATTTAAAAGTATTGAAGGAAGTTGAATTTTTTTTTTTTCACCAAGGATTGAACGAAAATAGTGTTGGTGACAGCAATTAGTGTGCGCATCCAAACGGAAATGAAGGCAAAATATAGTTCCGAACGGTTCAGTTGAGATGCAACGTCGCATTGCATCAAGTGGCACAACAAGTTTAAACTCTGGATTACAGCGGCTGACTGTTAAGTGTAGTTAAATATTATTTTAATTGTCTTTAACTCTTGTACAATGACTTTTACAACTCTTGTAGATTAAATTAAATAAGATATTTTTAATGATAAATAAATATAGATACTTTTTGAGCACTTGGTATGGTGGCAATAGTTGGTAAAGGTTTATAGGTTAGGTTAAGACCTATATGCACTGGGATCAGCTTGAGCTATTGTGCACCTGGGAGCACTTGGAATACTATCAAATAAGTTGCTTATTTTGAGTGATCATTTTTATGCCAGTAAAAAAAGTAAGGGTGCAAAGATATATTAAATTTTATAAATTTATTTTGCATTGATAAAAATATTTACTTTAGTAGAAAATATTTCCTATGATATTAAATTTATTTAGATTTTATCAAAATTTAAGTTTAAGAGTTCGTTGTCAGGTGTACTTTTCCAAAAATTCTCCATTAAATGACACATGGAGCAGGTCATCACAGATTCATAAAGATAACAATAGTTACGAAAAAAAACTATAGAACTTGGTACAGTTGCCAAAGTAGTTTCATGAGAATTTTTGCAGAAATAAAATCTATTAAATTCTGTGCTCTCTCATGTATGAATTTGCAATAATTTTTGCCAAAATGTAGAAAAATTTTTATTTGTGTTATTTTTGTAAAAATTAGAAAATGTTCATATATTATTAAAAACTAATACAATTTAATTTTCACATATGCGAGTATGACATCTGAGGGAACACAAAAGCATATACTAACAATGACAGGTTGAAGGATACAAGGATGGCAAGCAAGTGCAAGACACGCCTTTTATTAAAAGTTTTCTCTTTACTTCACGGAAGCATCTCATAAGTTTTTATAAAATGACATTTTATGTTATTATTTTTTAAGATATTTTTAAGTTTCAAAAATATGAGTACATTTTAAAAGTTCTTATATCTACCGCAATACAAATATTCTCAAGCATGTGTGTACACACATATATATACCAACTGTAGATAGATTTTGTTTTTACGTTTGTTGACGTATTTCTCTATTGAAAACCAAATTTATTACCTTGAGGCTACTTTTAATTTCCTTTAAAAATTCGTTTATAAAAGCTGCTTAGATATTTTAAAAGTGTGTATAATATCAAATATACTCATACTATATATGTAGTATCATGCCTTCATATTGTATATGTGCAACTGACTATGCATACTCACATTTATATGAGTGAAGACTATGCCAAGTCATTCATCAGGAAAATACCATCATAAATTTTAATATTTTCATGTTTACCATTTCTTTATGGTTCGATGCTTGTCTTTATATCACTTTTTATTCTTGGTATTTTATGCATTTGTTCATCATTAGATCCTATTTAACTGCGTTGACAACAAAGGATAATATATCCCAAAAAAGGTATGAACTGAGTATACACATTCATGTAGACTTGAATACACTTCATGTGTCTGTGAATTTCTTGTATAATTTTTACCTTGAAGCAGTAATTAAATCCCTTTTTTTTGAACAAAGTCACAAGAGTGACAAAGTAGATAAAGTAAGATTATGATGAATAGATAAACTGCAAGGATATTAAAGTGTGGATGAGAAATAATGTTCAGAAGATAAATTGTTTGAGTTGAGTTAGGTTTGTTTTGAAACTATTCAATGAGAAATTATTAAGGATTATTTTCTCAAAATATATTAAATTAAGATGAACTAAATGATAAAGCGTTATAGCCATGAATTGACAAGTATTAAATAAAGAATTTTTATGGGACTCAACAAACAAAAAAATGAAGATAAAATATTTTTATTTACATTTAACATATGCTTAACATAAATAAATATGTTATTTATTAATTTCTATTATTTAATAATGGATTAAATGGATTAATGTATATTTAATTATGGATTAAAACGACTAATTACAATTAATAATATTTTGCGGAAAACAAAACAGTACATATTGTACAAAAAGGTACATATGGCTGCGAGACATAGAGATTAACTGAAACTGAAGCAGGCAAGATAGCAGTGTTGGAAAGGAAAACATTTAGAAAAATGTTTGGCCCCATGAAAGAAAACAGGATGTATTGCATAAGACACAACCACAGACGCAAACGCCTAACTGAAGGTGATACAATCAACAAATCGATGAAAAACCAGCGATTAAGATGGGTTAGATATGTGATAAGAATGCCGGATATGAGAGCACCACTTAAGATTTATGAGAACGAAGTAGGAACCAGCAGAAGAAGAGTGCAACCAAGTAAACGATGGAAAGACAGTGTGCAGCAGGACTTAGAAATAAAGAATATAAGAAATTGCAAAAAAAATGTAAAAATCAGAGAAGAATGGTAGACTGTTGTTAAATAGGCTGAGGTCCTAGATGGATTGTATAGTCGCCGGTGATGACTTAATAGTTAAATAATATAATTATTTCATTATTTGTTAACAAAAATATTTGCTAATAATACTTTCACAGATAACTAACTAAACTCTAGAAAAATGTGCGAACATAAGCTTAAGTACGGCTTTAGGTCAGTTGATTAAGGAGCGCTGACTCTAACCTTTAAATTTGACAGGGCACGAGCTAGATTCCTGGTACTTGTAGTCTCAAAAAATTATTTACGAATAATGAAATACAAAATTTATTTCCAAGACGACTTATGATGGGTATTTGGCAATACTCGAAATAGCCGTATGGTCAGTCAAAAATTCAATTCATTAAAATAATATAAAAATAATTTTTGTTGTTCAATACTTTCGAAACCTCGCTATTTAAGTTAATATATAACTTTTGTATATATACTTTACTTATATATGCGCGTTTATTATATATTGTTTATATATGTTAATAATAGATTTGAAATAATACAGAATCAAGCCCGTTGAGTAGCCATCAGGCGATTTAATAATTAAGACCGCGGGTGTTAACTTGATATATAGTTTTTTAAAAATAATTATAAATAAAATTTACAATTTTATTGTATTTGGCTTACTTTTCTTGCATTTCTTTTGCATAGTTCGGGTGGGTAAACAATTGGCTTCGCCCTTCTTCAATGTAAGTGTCCGGGAACGCATATTGGTTTTGGCATCACATTCAGTCCAAGCGCTCTTAGTATAACGGCAAGTCGATTCTGTAAATAAAAACAAAATTGTGAAAATGTAAAATTGATTATTAATCAAGTAGAAAAAAATATAATAAAATTAAATGTTACAAAATAATATAATATATTATATATACAATATATTGTATATGTTTGGTTATGGATTCTTCTGGCAACCCGAATAAGTGCTTTTTTAGATGTAGGCTAGAAGGATCCCAAAAAGTACCGTAGTGATCAACGTACGAAGCACTATGTAAAGCACGATTTGTCCATTCAAGTGCAAGTGAAACAACCAAATAAAGCTATAAGCTAATATCGTGTGCGATTGGTAAATTTAGAGTAACTTTTTTAATTAATATGCACTTTTAGTGTAATTTTCATTTTCGTTTGGTAAGTCTATATAACACTCGAGATTAATGTATAACACTCGAGATTAGACTCTGAAATTAACAGATGTTTTAGATGATTTGACAGGTGAGCTATGATTTGATTTGATATATGTATTTCTGAAATATACAAATGTCTACTAATACTACTACAAAAATATAAGATAACTCTAAAAATGTTCGATTGGATAACAGAATTTGATAGATTTAGAGTAAATCTAGATTAAATCCAGATTTACCAATCGAAAACAGCATTAGTGTAATTTTCATTTTCCATTGGTTAATTTGTAGCGAAATGTATTAAACTTGAGATTAATTTACAACATTCTAGATATACTTATTGCCAGTTTTAAAATACATGGCAGGTAAATTGCGATTTCATCGAAAGACGTTCGATTGGGTAATAAAATTTAACAGAACGAAAGGAAATCTAGATTGAATCCAGATCAGTCAATTAAAAACGCTATAAATAAAGCTACGTTTTCAAGGATAACAGCTGTGTTAGTTCGATCAGATAAGGGGTACCAACAAACTTATACGTATAATTTAATATAAGAATGTTGGGTAAATGAATTAAAATTAACAGAAGAATAGTACTCTTATGAAGTAAGAAAATTATAAGTAAGAAGTAAAATGAGAAAATTATGAACTCCTCTCAAGGAGTACAGTTCGGTGTGTACGCAAGGATGTCAGCACTTGTAGTTGAAATAATACAAAAAAAAAAACAAAAAAAAAGTATGTAAAGAAAAATAATATGAAAATGTCTGGCATTGTATGGTAAATTCAAAAGGATAATAATTAAAGTGGATGGTTTTCGTGGCAACTGAGAGTTATGAAATGAAAAAATTATAAATGTTGTGGAAAAGCAAACAGAAAAATGTAATTAAGTTTTTTCTGAGCACTTCTTTTCGACAAAATTTCTGCTTCTTCTTGTTTTTCTGTAATATTTTTTTTATTTTTCTGAAAAACGTTATTTATTTTACTCTTTGTGGCAGTGACAGGATAACAGTCAAATAACCTTCAGGGAAATTGACATAGCAATATGTGCAAACTGAATTAATACTATCTCGTTCCAATTTACAAAACAATGATATGAAAAAATATTTTGATCATCCTCCTGAATTGGGTGTTATGTGCTATGCTGGTTCTTACATGAAACAGGAATTTTTTGATTGAACACGATTTTTTTGATGAAACAGGATTTTATTTTCTTTTTCTCTGGATTATTATCAACAAATAACAACTCAGCAGTTTTGACTATGCATTTTATTGGAAATAAATTGCTTAATTTATTTTATGATTTACTAAGATTATTAACTATATTTATTAAATAATGCTATCCCTTCACCCTTATCTGGGTTTCTGGACATAGGAAGTTTAGTCCGCTGTGGTGCTTCCTTGGATGTGTTTCTGATGGTACCGGTGTATATTACGCTACAGGCCATTTAGAGAAGTATTTATCTCTACTTACTTCAACTTGCCAATAATAGATGGAAAACACTTAAGTCATGTGCAACTTCCAGGTTAACATGGCCCACCTATAATGAAATTAGATCCTCTGAGATATTGTATGAACTCATCAAGAGAGACCGCGTGAACACTGCAAGGCTTACTGCAGCAATGTCTGATCATTGATCATGTCTCTGGTCAGACATTTGCAACTTCCAGGTTAACATGACCCACCTATAATGAATTAGATCCTCTGAACTCATCAAAAGAGACCGCGTAAACACAGCAAGGCTTGCTGCAGTTGTCTCTGGTCATTGGTGTATATTGGTCATGTCTCTGGTCAGTCATGTGCAACTTTAAAGTTAACATGGCCTACCTATAATGAAATTAGATACTCTGAACTCATCAAAAGAGACCCGTCTACATTACAAGGTTTACTGCAGTTCTCTCTGGTCATGGGTGTTTAGTAACCTACGCAGAGAAACTGCATATTCTTTATCTATCCTCACTGAAGAAGTTGTGGAAACCCGCTGGAAAAAGAAACCATTATACATTTTCAATGTGAACGGAGTTCAGCTTCGGCGTTCAGAAGAAATAGATTTTTAGGAAGATACTTCTTGAACAGTTTATCAAACTGTTCATCGGTGAAGACGAGAGACCTATTACATTTTCTAAATTTGACGAGATGGATTTAGTCTCTACTCTTAAATACTAAGGGTTTTTGCAAGGAATGTGGTGGCAAAATGGCGCAAAATTGCTAATTGAGGTACATGGCAGCTATCTAATGGCCTGCCAATGCAACCAACCAACGAAATCATGCTATTGTCATGATACGATTTATGTATATGAGTAATATTATCTTGGGTTTAAGGGTTAAATTAATTTACTATGCATATCAAAGTATTTAAAAAATTCAATAAAACACAATATTATATATCAAATAAGTAGAAATACTATACATTTTCATTTTAACTGAAAACTAATATCCTGTTTTATTTGATGTAACCCAAGTTTGTTTCCGAAGATCTTGTGCTATTCTGAAAAAATAAATTGCTGACCTTTTTAAAAGTACCGCAAGTGTTTTAAAATTGGTGTCCTTATACATCCGTAAAATAAAATAAATTTAATAAAATAAAAGTTAAAATAAATAAAATGGAAACGAGATCGAAAAAGATTCTTTATTTTTTGTTTGAGGCGAAAAAAACGCTGTAATTGCATGCAAAAAATGCAGAAAATAAATTGAAGTAAAATAAGAGAATTCCTTAAAAAAAAAGTACTCTTTTTTTATTTTTGAATTTATTTTTGGAATCTTTTTGCAAACGTATGACCTTTCAAAGAAGCAAATGCAAAGGTATTCTTTCGTTAACTTTAAATAAGAGTTACTTTTTTCATTGACTCTTGAAGCTGTCCTCGGTCTTTTGCAGCATTCTTTACTCTTACATAAAGAGATCAATGGAACCAATTTTTTATAAGTTCACTATACAATTTTTTTCCTAGTAGTTTCAAGTACGCAAGAGAAAATTGTAAAATTTTGCATTTAAATCAACATTATTGTGTATATCCTTTGTAATGACATGAAAAAAATTCAATTGGCAAAAAAGGTCAAAAAGTTAAAGTCAATAATTTCATTGTAACTTTAAGGTAAAGAATTCGGGAAGGATATAAGATAGGTGAACATTTCACATTCCGACATATAAGCACAGTTTCAACTAACCTTTTTCCTTAATTTGGAAGCGTGTGGGTGTGTAAACATCCTTAACTGCTACGGTTTAATATTGCGAACGACTACGACTGACGCGCCAGTAATCAAACATTGTCGGTTACACTTTTGGGAATTATTTGCGGCCTTATTTAGGTAATAAAATGCGGGCCGATAAAACTGCTTTAAAAAGGACTTAACAGGGTGCTTAATGATAGAAGCACAACAGGCATTGCTTAGAGTAATTTTAATATACTTACTTCACTGTGGATTTGTTAAAACTGAATAATGAAATAATAAAATTTCGATACAAATTAAAATAAAAATAAAATATATAAAATAAAAATAAGAATAAAAAACAAAAATAAAAATAAAAAATAAATAATAAAAATAAAAAATATATTAAAAAAAATATAATATCTATATAAAATCGATTTTATAAATTTTGCGATATCTTTCTAATTGCATGTATGAAGCAATAATAGTTATAGCAAACAAGTGTTATCATATTTGTTATTTAATATTTAATACACAAA